CTTTGTCATGTATCGGGTAGTTTAGTTCTGCTCCGTGTAGTTTCTTGCTGAGGTAGGCGATTGGTTGCAGTCCATTCCCGTGGTCTTGCATTAAGACTGCCCCCACTGCCTGGTCGCTGGCGTCAGCTTCGATTACGTAGTCGCGTTCGGGATCTGGCAAGATGAGTACCGGTGCGGACGTGAGTGCTTGTTTCAGTTGCTCCACGGCTTCCTGGTGCTTTGGTTCCCATTTATAGGGCGTGTTCTTCTTCAGCAGATTCGTGAGTGGTGCTGCGATTTTCACATATTGTGGCACGAACCTGTTGTAGTAATTAGCGAAGCCTAGGAACTGCTGCAACTCCTTCACGTTCTCGGGTGTCTTCCACGTGCGTACGGCCTCGATTTTCTTGGGGTCGACGTGAACTCCTTGAGCGCTCACCATGTGCCCTAGGAACTGGACCTTTTCAAGGGCGAATTCGCTCTTGGACAGTTTGACGTAGAATCGTTCTCGTCGAAGAATTTCAAAGACGCGTCGCAGGTGTTTGACGTGCTGCTTCATGTCGCGCGAGTAGATGAGTATGTCGTCCAGGTACACCACCACGCATTCGTCCAGAAGTGGTCGTAGAATGTGGTTCATTTCGACTTGGAACGTTGCCGGCGCGTTGGTGAGTCCGAACGGCATTACCAAATACTCGTACGATCTGTACCGACTTCGAAAAGCAGTTTTGTGGATAGAGTTGTCCGCCATCCGTATCTGCCAGTATCCGGACCGCAGATCTAGTTTGGAAAATACCGTAGCTCCCCGAAGCTGGTCAAGCAGGTCATCGATTCGCGGTATCGGATATTTATTCTTGATGGTCTGCTTGTTAAGAGCTCGGTAGTCGATGCACATGCGCAGGCTTCCGTCCGGTTTCGGTGTGAAGAGTACTGGGGCACCGTACGGCGAAGTGGATGGCCGGATGAGTCCTTTGGCTAGGAGATACTCGATCTGTTTTTTCATGTCAGTCAGCTCCGTAGGGCTGAGCCGGTATGGTGCTCGGAAGGTCGGCTTCGAACCCGGTTCCTCCACGATCTCGTGTTGATGCGTTCGGTATGGCGGTAGCTCGTTCGGAAGATCGTCAGGAAGAATGTCTTGGAACTCCTTCAGTAATTCCTTGATTTTTTCTGGAGTTTCCGAGGCTTTCTCTCCGTCATTCTCCACCTCTGTTGCTATCGCCAGGAACCCGGTGTCGGTCCGCTTCATGTCCTTCTCGAATCGTGCGAGTGTCTCCACTGGGATATCTCCAATATCGTCCCAGTTGGGTAGCTGTACTCTCCGTCCATTGTTGTAGATGCTTGCGGTGCGGTTCACCCAGTTGATCTCGGGGTTGAATCTTTTCAGGAAGTCTCGCCCGAAGATCAAGTCAAGCCCCTTGATGTTGGTGATGGGGAGTGCAGGTCTCCAGCGCAGTGGTCCGATTTGTAGGTGTAGCACTGCTTCGCCGTATACTGGTAACTTGCTGCCGTCCACCATTGTTGCAGAGAATCCTGAAGGCTTGTACTCTTCCCGTAGTCGGTCGATTACTGCCTTGTTGCAGACAGTGTGTGACGCTCCGCTGTCCACGAGTGCTTGGAGGCGTCGTCCTTTGCAGATGACCTCGAGCACGAGGGGCAGTCGTCGCTCGGAGTTCATCCCAATACTCCGTACACACCTTTGTGTTGCTATCTGCTCCTGAGCTGGCAGCTGGCCGAGGCTGCTTGGAGAACGGTTCTTCTCCAGGGCCCGGAGTTTCCTTGACGACTGTGCGCGTCACAGATGCCGAAGAACTGGATGCATCCGTAGGAGGAGTTCGGGGTTTGTGCAGCTTCTTGTAGACCCCCAGCTTCCTCTTGAGCTGCTTCAGCTCCACCGACGTTTTCCCTGGGGAGCGGGTAGTCGTTGTGGGCTGGTGTCGGGAGAGGACGTTGACTCCGTGGAAAGGTCGGCTTCTTTCCACACTCCTTAATTTGGTCCCCAAGTTTTCCGGTACCGGTATAATCTCCACAGCTGTCTGCTTCTTTTGGAGTCCCTCCCGAAATTTCTCCAAGGCTCTAGCCCCTCGAAATTCATAAGTTTTCATTAAAGCATCTTTATAAGATAACTTTAACGAATTCTTATAATTTCTTGGGTCTTCAAGAAGTTTCCCCGTCTCGGCAGAGTCTTTTTTCGCGAAGTCATATTTTTCCTCGGCGATTTTCCCTGGCGAGGACTGGTCGTGGGGTGGAGATTTTCCCCCATCATTTCCTCCTTCTCGCGTCGAATCAGCTTCGTCGGAGTTGATTTTGTCAGGAATCCCGCGGCCGTTTTCGGATCTTTTTATTTTCGCCAGCTAGATCCGCAATCACTGGCGACTCCCGTTTTTTGACTTCTGATTGGCTGAAGGAATTCCGCCACTGTTGCGTGCCCGATACTCTGCGCGTGCGGTCTTCATTTTGCTGCAGTCGAAGATTCGATGACCCGGCACCCCGCAAAAATCACACGTGTAGTTGGTGTTTTTCGGACGTGGCCGCCCCTCGAATCTGTCGACTTCCATCGGGTCGGCGAACGTGGGGTGAGCCGAGCGGTCGCCCTGTCGCGTACTGCCGACGTGCGTCCGTCGTGTTCCGGCGTTGACCATGTCGAAGCGCTCCGCTGCCGAAACGACGTCACTGTAGCTCGCGTAGTTTGACGCTGCGACTTGTCGTTTGACTTCGGTCTTCAGCCCGGCGAGGTACAATTGTACTTTTTCCCCTTCGGTCAGGTCGGGAATGCGGTTATAAAATTCCTCCATCTGCTGCGTGTACTGCGCTACACTCCCGAACTGTCGATGTCGATGAATTTTTTCCCGGGCAAGGAAACTGGAATTTATCGGTTTGAAGCGTTTCAGCAGGTCGGTGCGGAACTGCTGCCACGTGGCTTCACCGTGGATGAAAGTACTGTTGCCGCCAATCCACTCGAGTGCCGGCCCTCGCATCAGTGTCGCCGCGAGTCGTACACGTTGTCCGTCCCAGGCTGGCGAGCTCCATCCGACGGCTGCGAAGTAGATCTCCATCCCGGCGATCCATCTGCGGGCATCGGAGTTTCGATCGCTCGGATCGAACGGCTCAGGTGGGCGCGGTTTCGGAGCCTCGAGAAACTGCTGCGACTGCTGCGTCGTCGCCGTTGTCGTCTCATGCTGCGCTCCGGCGAGTCGAGTTACTCGCTCGAACTGGTTTCGCCACGCTTCGCGATCCGCTCGCATTTCCTCCTGAAGGGCTGCGATGCGCGCGAAGAGCTGCTGGGTAACCTCGGCGTTGTCGAAGGTTGCCATCCTGTTCAAAACACGCACGGAGGGGGTAATTCGAAAATCGCGGAGCTGGTGCTTACCAGAATCGGTGTCGAATTGGTCGCCCCCGGCGGTTTTTCGAGGCAGGATCCCCGCTGCTGCTGCTTAGCTGAGCGCGGGCGAGTGAAAAAGCTCTGATACCAAGTGTCACAGGATCGAATGTGTCGAGGAAAGGTTGCACTATCGATCAGTACAAGGCGCTTTTATACTTCCAAAGTACATCAGGTAACCATGTTTATCTTATCCTAAGGGAATAGACCCTTCTAGAAGATAGAATCACCCTGCGTATAGCCACGCGAGGCTATTGGCTTCAAGGGATTACGGCAGGATTACGCCAGATAGCGCGCACCAATACATCCCAAGCCTGGTCGGTGATATAATTATAATAGCAGGATAAACCAAAGGTTAATGGAAAAGGAAGAATAGGAAACCAAATGAGATGCGGTAAAAAGAGAAATGGAAGGAAAAGGAAATAGGAAAAGGGACAAGTGGTGTAACGGGGTCGTACTCTCACACCTAGCCGGCCCCGCGCCTGTCCTAGTGGCCCCCGTGCCTGTCCTACCGGCCCTCGTGCCCGTCCCTACCGGCCCCGCGCCTGTCCTAGCGGCCCCCGCGCCCGTCCTACCGGCCTCTGCGCCCGTCCTAGCCGGCCCCGCGCCCGTCCTAGCGGCCCCCGCGCCCGTCCTACCGGCCCTCGCGCCCGTCCTTACCGGCCCCGCGCCTGTCCTAGCCGGCCCCGCGCCCGTCCTACCCGGCCCCCGCACCTGTCCTCGCCGGTCCGGCGCCCGCCGCTACTGGCCCCCCCGCGACCGTTCTGCCGACCCCTGCGCGCGCCCTGCCCGTCGATCTCCGGCCCTGTGCTCACCTTCCTGCCGGACTGCCGCCGATCTGCGTGCGGCCCGCTCTTCGTGCTGCTACTGTTGTGTGATGTCATCATATGCTATCACATTCTGTCTGCCTCCCATCCCATGTTTTCAACTTGCATGTGTGGTTTGAATGTGCAAGCATTTGTGTGGTGTGTGTTCTGGAGTTTGGGAATGTGTTCTGTATTATTTTTGTTTGAGCAGGTATTTGTGATGATAGATCTTGAGAAGATCTTTCCGACGCAACAAGAATCGCTTCAATCGGAGCAAGAACGCGAAAGCTATGAAGATTCAAAGTTCATGAGCTTGCGTTACAATTGCGGCGGTTACTAAGTGAAGTTGTGGGGTGACTTTATATGGAGTTGGGACCTTTGGGGTTGGGGAAACTTGTCACTCTACTGTAACAGCTGCAAATAGGTTGGGAACAACCAAGCTAGGTTGGCAAGGGTGGCCAACTTGGATGGATTGGTTGGGAAGGGACAAAGGTCAAAGTTGAGGTTCCTATAGGGAGGGAATCTTTGTGCTTATGGGGTTTCCTTGGTTGGGGACTCTCTTGGGACCTTCCCTCTCATCCCTCTCTTCCTATCCCAACCTTTCTCTTGCTCCTTCTAATTCCTTGTGAGATTCTTGAACTTTGATTGAACCTTTGAGATTGAGTTAAGTTCTCCTCCTACAGCTTACCCCCTAGTGCGTCGAAAGCCATAGCGTCGCGAATACTTTATCAATCAACATGATTCAAATTGGGAACGGTAGCTGAGATTAAGAGCTACAACATATCCAAGTTTCGCGACATTCCAACGGCTAGTTGTTTGTCGACGTCGTTTCTTGTGAAGACGACTTTTCTGTCCAGAATTTCGGATTTATATTTTGAGTAATTCTAGCTCCTAAGTTCACCTAGACTCCGTCCTTAACACTAACAAGTGGTATCAGAGCTGTATTAAGGACGTTGAGAGGAGTCTACAGAAGTGTGAAGACCCTTCTAGACCCACCATGGCCTGTGGGTGTGCCTAAGTGGTGTTCTAAAGGTTGGATGTGTCTTCCGCTAAGGGAAACTCTGCCGAAATTTCGTGGACGCCGACACTTGTGAAAATATCGAGGGAGCTGAGTGTGGACAGCAAAGGGGGGCTGAAATTCGTCATTTCTCAAGGAGAAGATGAATGAGAGAGGAGGAGATGCTAATGGAAGAGGAGCTGTAGCTGAGAAGACAAGTGAGCCGCCGCCATCAAAAGTTGAAGCTTTGGATGGCTCCAACTATGAGGAATGGAGCGGACGGATGAGAAGTGCCTTCAAACGCTACAAGCTACTGAAGATTGCTGTTGGGGAAGAGAAGATGCCGGAAGAAGGCGAAGCACGTGAACGGTGGATTGAGAAAAGCACGGTGCTTTTCGACCTCATCCTTCAATCGGTCAACAAGGAGATGTTCGAGCACATCAAGGATCTTGTGGAAGCGGATGATTCGGGTCCAAGGGCGTGGAAACTACTACGCGATGTGATTCAGCCCAACACTCTCCTGATGGTGATCGTGCTCGAGAAGGAACTTGCTGCCATCTCCATGCGACCAGGGGACGATGTGAAGCCGGTCCTTGACAAGATCAAGGACACCTATGCAAGGATGGCAGCAGCGGGCAGCAGTGTATCTCAGCTGCAGCAGTGCACCAAGATCATCTCGGTGTTGGACAACTCGTGGGATAACCTCATCCCCACCCTCAACTCTCAGCAAGATCAATGGACACCTGAGTGGCTAAGGCAGCAGATTCTGCAGGAGGACTTCCGCAGACGCCATGTGGGAGGCGGTGCTGCCACTAAGACTGCTGAGGGGTATGGAGCTGCAGGGCGCAGCAGAGGAAGAGGGGGTTGGAGAGGCCGAGGCCGTGGGAGAAGCTTTGGCAGAGGTAGAGGCCGAGGTGACTATAATGAGGGGCATGGGAGCTCCAGTGGCAGGGGGAGTACCAGAATGGAGGGCACCTGCTGGTACTGCAAGAAGGTCGGGCATCCTTGGTTCAAGTGCTTCAGCAGGCTGGAGGGATGGTCACCTCCAGGCATGAAGCCGCCAAGTGGTGAACGCGCACAAGGTGGCGCTGTGCAAGGCTCAGGTGCACAAGGTGAAGGTGCACAAGGTAATGCCTATCCTGGTTTGTTTGTTATGGTTGAGGATGTGCATGGGCATGAGGGTGATGTGGGATCTGTGGGAAAGGTTGTGATGCACCCTCTCACGCACTGGGTGATTGATTCGGGTTGCACCAGTCACATGACTCCACGGGCAGATTTGCTTGATGAGGTAAAACCCCCTGGGAAGATTAAGTATGTGGCAGCAGCGTCAGGTGCTTTGCTCCCTGTCATTGGTGTTGGAAATGCCAAGGTTAAGGGAGCTAATGGGGAGCTTGTGGGGCTTGGGAATGTTCTGCTGGTTAAAGGCTTGTCTGCTAACCTTCTCTCTGTGCGACGACTGCAGAAGAGCAAGGCCGAAGTGACCTTTGGACCAACCAGCTGCCGTGCTAAGCTTGGGAAGAAGGTGCTATGGAGTCTGGAAGAGGAGACCAGTTGCATCAAGGACCTGTGGCAGCTGCCCATCATCCCATGGAATGGGAAGACTCCAACAGCAGCAACGGCAGCAGCGGCAAAGGCAACAGCAGGAGGAGATGCAACTGCACCAACTGATGGGGTCCTGGAAGCAGTCAAGAAAGTGCAGCAGCAGCAGACACATGGCGAGGTGCTTGCTGGTGTGGATGCGAGTGCGGCATGGGCTAAGGCTTCATCAAGGAGTGGAGAGGCCGATTGGGAGACATGGCATGAGAGGCTGTGTCATGTGAACTTCCCTATGCTACAGAAGTTGGTGAAGGATGGGAGCCTGAAGGGCTTGGAGGTGAAAGGGGGAGTGAAGGAGATTGGGAGCTGCCCTACATGCTTGGAGACCAAGTTCTCCAAGTTCCCCTTCAACAGTGCAACAGGACCAGCCAAGACCCCACTTGCACTTGTGCACATGGATGTGGTGGGGCCCACAAGAGCCCCTTCCCTCTCAGGCAGCCGCTATTTCTTGACAATTGTGGATGACCACACTCGGGCAGTGTGGGTTTACCCTTTGAACAGCAAGGGGGAGGTGGCAGCGGCTGTCCTTAAGGAGTGGATGCCTAGAGCTCAGAGGGAATGCGGACACAAGGTGAAGGTGATCCGCAGTGACAATGGTGGGGAGTTCATTGGAGCTGATTTTGAGGGGGAGTTGAAGAGGAAGGGGATCCAGCATCAACTGACAGTGCCCTACAATCCGCAGCAGAATGGCGTGGCTGAGAGGTTCAACAGGACCCTGCAGGAGGGGGCACGCACTCTCCTTGGGCGTGCAGGGCTACCTGATCCGTTTTGGGTGTCTGCACTGAGGCAGGTCGCCCTTGTGAAGAACAGGGTGCTGGCTACAGTTGGAGATAAGGAGTGGATCCCATATATCAAGTGGTATGGGAGTGCTCCAGCTGTGAACATGCTGAGGGCATTTGGGTGCATGGTAGTGTTTCATGTGCCTAAGGAAAAAAGAGGGAAGTTGGAGGCTTCTGGAAGATGGGGTGTGCACTTGGGGATTGCAAAGGATCACAAGGGATGGCTGCTATGGGACTTGACCACCCAGAAGCTGACAGTGTCAAGGGATGTGAAGTTTCTTGAGTCCCTGTACTACAAGGAATGGAAGCAGCAGCAACAGAAGCTTCCATCTACACCGCTCATTGTGGAGGCAGATGAGGTGCAGCAGCCTTCAAGACAGGTGGAGGTTGCAGTGTCAGAGGAGGAGATGTCTGGGGTGACTGAGGAAGGGGGAGCAGCTGAAGTAGAGGAGCAGCAGCAGCAGCAACATGAGTCTCCACCTCGAGTTCCACACCCGCCTGAGCGACCTAGGAGGGATGTGCGCCCTCCGGTGAGGCTGACCTATGGGGGAAGAGGCAAGCCGAATGTGGTGCAGGCTGGGAGTGTGGTTGAGCAGATTGAGGAAGATGAGATTGCATTGTGCTATTGGGCTGCAATTCCTCAGCCTAAGGTACTGACGCTAGCTTCAACTCAGTAAAAGCGGATGGCACCAGCATTGGGGGTTATGTGTGCTTGCTAGGAGGTGGTGCTGTGAGCTGGCGCAGCAAGAAGCAGAATGAGGTGGGATTGTCTTCATATGAGACTGAGTACATGGCCTTACACCATGGGGCCAAGGAAGTAGTGTGGCTAAGGCGTTTGTTGGAGGAGTTGGGAGTTGGTCAGGAGGAGCCGACAGTTGTGTTCTGTGACAATGAGTCTGCTGTGAAGCTCGCCAAGAATGCTTGTCTGCATGGGCTGACAAAACACATAAGGCCTAAGTGGCACTGGGTGAGGAGACTCCTTGATAAGGAGGTGCGGCTGGAGATAGTGAAGACCCATCAGCAGGCAGCAGATATTTTCACCAAGCGTCTGGCGGAGGCGGATCATTGGAAGGGCATGAAGCTTGCTGGGATGAGTGTGCATTGAGTATGCATGCTTGAGATGTGGTATGGTGGATGATGGTTGGCAGCCAGAGGGGGAGATTGTTGTGTGATGTCATCATATGCTATCACATTCTGTCTGCCTCCCATCCCATGTTTTCAACTTGCATGTGTGGTTTGAATGTGCAAGCATTTGTGTGGTGTGTGTTCTGGAGTTTGGGAATGTGTTCTGTATTATTTTTGTTTGAGCAGGTATTTGTGATGATAGATCTTGAGAAGATCTTTCCGACGCAACAAGAATCGCTTCAATCGGAGCAAGAACGCGAAAGCTATGAAGATTCAAAGTTCATGAGCTTGCGTTACAATTGCGGCGGTTACTAAGTGAAGTTGTGGGGTGACTTTATATGGAGTTGGGACCTTTGGGGTTGGGGAAACTTGTCACTCTACTGTAACAGCTGCAAATAGGTTGGGAACAACCAAGCTAGGTTGGCAAGGGTGGCCAACTTGGATGGATTGGTTGGGAAGGGACAAAGGTCAAAGTTGAGGTTCCTATAGGGAGGGAATCTTTGTGCTTATGGGGTTTCCTTGGTTGGGGACTCTCTTGGGACCTTCCCTCTCATCCCTCTCTTCCTATCCCAACCTTTCTCTTGCTCCTTCTAATTCCTTGTGAGATTCTTGAACTTTGATTGAACCTTTGAGATTGAGTTAAGTTCTCCTCCTACAGCTTACCCCCTAGTGCGTCGAAAGCCATAGCGTCGCGAATACTTTATCAATCAACATGATTCAAATTGGGAACGGTAGCTGAGATTAAGAGCTACAACATATCCAAGTTTCGCGACATTCCAACGGCTAGTTGTTTGTCGACGTCGTTTCTTGTGAAGACGACTTTTCTGTCCAGAATTTCGGATTTATATTTTGAGTAATTCTAGCTCCTAAGTTCACCTAGACTCCGTCCTTAACACTAACAGCTACTGCACTGCACCCTCCCTGGTACGGTTCTCCATCACCTTTCACCGCACTGCACCCTCCTGCACCGCACGGCACCGCGCTACACCGCACTGTACCGCACTGTACCGCGCTGCACCGCACTGTACCGCCCTGCACTACACTGGACCGCGCTGCATTGCCTTACCTGGCCCTGCCCTGCAGTGGAGGGCCTGCACTGTTCCTGATGGCGGCGGAGCTTCGCTTCAACGCTGAAGGCCAACCTCTGGAGTTCGAGGCTTGGCTCGCAGACCTCCGCCGCCACCTCACTGGCCAGCGGCAGGATGGCCACCCGCTCTCGGCACACCTTGACGGTACGCTTCCCTGACCAGACCCCCCTGCTGTGCTGCCCGCTGACCCCACACCTGCTGAGCGCGAGTCTACTGCTGTCGCTGCCCTCGCTCGCTCTGTCTGGCATTCCCGTGACGCTGTCGCCCAGCTTGCCATTAGCAATGCCCTCCCCCTGTCTGAGCGTCCTCGCTTTAGGTCTATCACCACCACCCAGGCTTTCTTAGACGCTGTTATCCGGCGCTATTCCGCCCCGCCTGCTGCCTCGGTGGGTCGCCTGATCTTACCGCTGCTCTTTCCTGACCTTGCGTCTTTCCCCACTATCGCTGACCTGGCTGCCCACCTGCGCACGATAGATGAGACCTGGCGCGCTGCCTGCACTGACGCACAGCTTAGAGCCCACCAGCCGCCCCTTACCTCTACCCTCTACCTGCTTGCCACCCGCCTCCCTGACCACCTTGCCGCTGCTCGTGACCGCTTCCTTAGCATCCACCCCGGTGACCTCACCCTCACAGACTTTGTAGACACCCTGACTGTTATTGAGACCCGCCACCGCTCTATCGCCCAGGCGAGCGGTACCGTGCCGGTCCCTATCTTTCAGGGTTGTGCCCCCGCTTAGTGCACCTTCTCCGATGGTTCTGCAACTGTGGCGGAGACCGCCGCTGCAGCGCAGTTCCGTCCGGGGAAGGGCCGCCGCCCCAAGGCGGGGCGCGGCGGAGGTGGTGGGGGTGCCAGTGGAGGTGGTGGTGGAGTCGGGTCGTCTGGTGGTGGAGTGGACGAGGGGACCCTGCCGGGTCCAGCTGAGCAGCCGCCCCAGCAGCCGCAGCAGCAGCAGCAACCGCAGCAGCCGCACCAGTCGCAGCAGCCGCCGCAGACGGGGCAGGCGAGTGCCCTCCCGCCCGGGTGGCCTGGCGCTGGTGGTGGTCGTGCGCGTGGTGGTGTGCCGGGTGGCGGTTCGGGAGGCGTGCTTTGCCAGTACCAGATCCAGACCGGTCCTCGCCGCGGCTTCGTTTGCGGTAAGATCGGTCACACCACTACCCGCTGCTTTCATCGCCTGGACGACCTGTTTCGTCAGTGTTTCGGCCCGTCGCCTGACCTCCCGGACTGGCACAGTTTGCTTAGTCATAGAGTTCAGATTTTTGACATGGACATGGATACCATTGTTTCTGCCCTGCATGTGATGTATGCTGATGACTCTAGTGTGCTCCCCTCTTATTACTCCTTGTCGGCTAGTGTAGGTGTGCCTAGCTTAGCCTCCCCTGCTGCGTCAGGCGTAGGAGCTTCTGCCTTGTTTAGCCCTGGTGCTTCCGCCGTCGCCCCGTCGCCAGACGCCACTGCTTCGCTTTCCTTCACCTTGGCCTCTGGCGCTTCCCGGTGTTTCTTCCGTGACTCTACTACGCTAACGCCGCTTCCTGTTCCTGCTGCAGTTTCTCTTGCTGACCCCTCCGACGGTCCCATAGTCGCTCGCAGTTCCACCACCCTTCCCTGTCCGGCGGTTCCTTCGGGCTCTCTCACAGGTCTGCATATCCCCTCGTTCTCGAGGAACCTAGTTGGTGTCGGCTGCCTCCAGGACCTTGGCGTCACCACTGCGTTCATTGGTCATGAGCGGTATGCTGTCTGTATCGAGGCCGCCACTGGTGCCCCCCTATCCACGTTCCCCTGGGACCCGGAGTCCGGCCTGCTCACCGTGGACACCGTTTCCCCCACGGTTGGGGCGCCCCTTCAGGTGGCTGCGTCTACCCAGGTTGCTGCTGCCTGCTCCTGTCGGTCCCTCACTCACCCGACTCTCCTTTGGCACCACCGCCTAGGTCACCCCGCGCTCCTGCGTCTGCGTCACATGTCCCAGCACGGTCTCGTCCTTGGTCTCCCTGGTTCGTTCCCCTCTTTTCCCTCTTCCCCCGCCCCACCTTGTACGCCTTTTGTCGAGGGTCGGCTTCGCCGTGCCCCTCACTCCTCCTCGTTTCCCCCTACCGCCGCGCCGCTGCAGACCCTGCACATGGACGTCTGGGGCCCCGCCCCCATCCATGGGCCGCGTCGAAAGCGCTACTTCCTCGTGCTTGTCAACGACTTCACTCGCTACACCACAGTCTTTCTCCTGGAGCGCAAGGCCGACGTGCCTGACGCTCTCATCCCCTGGCTTGTCTCTGCGCGTGTCCACCGAGGTCTCCCTGTCCTGCGTCTTCACTCCGACCGTGGTGGCGAGTTTGCCTCAGGTGTCCTTGGTTGCTTCTGTCGTGCGGAGGGCATCACCCAGACGTTCACCCTGCTGGACTCCCCACAGCAAAATGGGGTCGCTGAGCGATGCATCGGTTTGGTCATGGAGGTGGCTCGCACCTCCATGATCCATGCCGGTGCACCCCATTTTCTGTGGCCGTTCGCCGTGCGCTACGCTGCTCACCAGCGTAACCTGTGGCCGCACCCCCAGCGGCCGCAGGTTTCGCCGACCCTTCTTTGGACCGGGTCTCCTGGTGACGCGTCTGCGTTCCACGTCTGGGGCTGCCTTGCTCACGTTTGTGCCTCTGGCAGGGACAAGCTCACTGCCCGCACCCTTCCCTGTGTCTTCCTCGGTTTCCCCCTTGACGCGTCTGACTGGCACCTCTACCACCCGCCGTCTCACCGGTTCTTTCACTCTCGCATCGCACCTTTGACGAGTCCGTCTCCTTCTACTTTCGCTTCCCCCACCGCGGTCCCCCGGTTACTCCCCCCCTGTTCCTGGTCAATCCTTCCCCGGTGGTCCCTGCCCCCCCCCCTCCCCCTCCCCGTCCTGCCCCCTCTGGTGTGTCCCACGTCACCCCTCTCCCGTCAGTTGTCCCAGTCGAGGAGTCCTCTGACTCTGGTGGTCCTGCGGTGCAGTCCTCGCCGTGTGCCCCTCCCCCGGTATCTCCTCCCCCTCAGCCTCTGCAGCCGCCGTCGCCCCCGCTGTCGCAGCCGTTGTCTCCGCTGCCGTCGCCGCCGCACCCGTCGTTCCCGTCGCCGCCGCCGCCGCCGTCGCAGCAGCAGTACGTCACCTCTGGGGGTGCCCGCGTTGGGGTGGGTGCTAGCTCTGGGGGTGTTCCTTCTGGGGGTGCCGGAGTGGAGTGTCTTGGAGGTAGCCGAGGCGCGGCTTGCAGTCCCGATGTTGGTGTTGTGCCGCCGCAGCAGCAGTCCCCGCAGGTCTCAGCCCTTCGCCTGCTCGGCCTTCCGTCCCCTGACCCTGCGTCCGTTCCTCTCCTGCTGTCTCCTCCTCTTCTGTCTACGGCCCTGTGTTCCCTCCGCCGGACTCGTCCCCGGCTCGTCTTCCTCCTCGCTCCCTCTTTGTGTCCCCTTCTCTGTCTCCTGACCCGACGCCTCTGTCTCACGTCTGGTCCCGCTGTCCCTCCCACGCTCGTCCTATCTTCCCTGTCACGCGCTCTCACCCTATGTTGCTCCGTTCCCACGTGTCTCGTCCTCCCCTTCTACCGTCGCCTCCTCCGTCCTCTCTTACCATTGCGCCTCCTCCTCTGTCTGACTACCTTCGTGTCGCTCGTCCTCTTGTTCCTCGGGTCCTCGCCTCTCTCGTTACCGACCCGTCTGTTTCGGTCTCGTGTCTTGATGCTCTTATCGCTGTGGTCGCTGACTTTGCCTCTACCCGCCGCCTTGACTACGCCACTGCTCTGGTCTCTGAACCTGCCTGACCTCCGTCTGTCGGGGGTGCTCCTGCCCTCGGCAGTGACGTCCTGGAGGACCGCCAGTTGGAGATCCACCGTCACCTTCGTCGACGCAGCTCCCCTGCCTGGGGTGAACGTAGTCGATGGACGCTAGCTCTTCAAGGTGAAGCGCCCTCCTGGAGAGCCGCCTGTGTTCAAGGCGCGCTACGTGGCTAGAGGCTTCAGTCAGCGTGAGGGGGTGGACTTCTTCCAGACCTTCGCTCCGACCCCGAAGATGACTACTCTTCGGGTTCTGTTACACCTCGCTGCTCAGCGTGACTACGAGCTTCACTCCCTCGACTTCTCCACTGCCTTCCTTCAGGGCAGCCCACACGAGCAGGTCTACCTGCGTTGCCCTCAGGGCTTTACTTGCATCTCCCCTCCTGGGACCTAGTGGCTCCTGCGGCGTCCCATCTACGGCCTGCGGCAGGCTCCCCATGAGTGGCACGACACGCTGCGTGCTACCCTTGCTGACCTGCAGTTCTTTCCGTCTTCCGCAGACCCCTCACTCTTCGTTCGTGCTGGCCAGACTCCGTTCTACATCCTTGTTTACGTGGACGATCTGGTCTTTGCCACGGCAGACAGGGACGCACTGGCCTCCGTGAAGGCAGAGCTGCTGAAGAGATACACTTGCACTGACCTTGGAGAACTGCGCCGTTACCTTGGCTTGCAGATCTTCAGGAACAGAGCAGCGCGCACCATCACCTTGACTCAGTCACACTTGGTGCGCCAGGTCCTTCAGAGGTTCGGCCTTCAGTTCTCCTCTGCACAGCCCACCCCTCTGCCTGTAGACCACAGACTCTCTGCTCCAGTTCCTGAGGAGCCAGTAGAGCCCAGTGGCCCTTACGCAGAGCTGGTGGGTTGCCTCATGTACCTGATGACTTGCACTCGCCTAGATCTCGCATACCCTCTCAGCATCCTGGCTCGCTTTGTGGCCACAGGCAGACACCGACCGCAGCACTGGTCTGCCGCTAAGAGGGTTTTGGGGTTAGTGCTAGGAGGACGCAGGTCACTGGTCCTTACTGGACACACAGGCGCTTCTTGGGCAGACGACGCCGAGACACTCAGGTCTTCCCAGGGCTACTGTTTTTGCCTTGGTTCAGGTGCCGTCTCGTGGAGAGCTACCCGCTCCTCGTCTGTAGCGCAGTCCAGCTGTGAGGCCGAGATCTACGCTGGTGCCATGGCGGCAGAGGAGCTCCGCTGGCTGACCTTCTTGCTCACTGACTTAGGTGAGCGGCCTAGCTCTGCCCCAGTCCTGTACGCTGACAACAGGGCCATGATCCTCCTGTGTCAGGAGCCTCGACTCAAGGGCAGAGCGAAGCACATCCAGCTGCGGTACTTCCTCTTGTGTGAGCTACAGCAGCGCCGCCAGGCACGCGTAGTACACTTGGCCTCCGGTGCCAACACAGCTGATATCTTTACGAAGGCGCTTGCGCCTAAAGATCATCAGCGGCACTGTGTACAGCTCGGTCTAGTTCCTGTAGCCTCTCACTTGCTAGGGCCTTGACTTTGTACTGTCCTATATATCTATATATACTCAGACTGGATTTGTGTCCTCTCCCAGTGGCTGGACTAGTAGTGCCACCCTGAGCTGCTTGTTCAGGACCTGCCCCTATGCAGTCTAGGGGGTGTGTCAAACATGTGTATCTGTTATGTTTGCATAGACTGTATAGGGTCACCCCTTAGAGGGTACAACACTTAGGTATATTCACTTGTACTTCCTCACTACTCATCAATTACTCAGTTTTAAGACTTGCCTCCAGTGGCTGGACTAGTAGTGCCGCCCTGGTTTGCTCGTCTTGTTTGTACTCTTGCTAACTGGTCTTCGGACCCCTGCCTCAATGGTTGGACTGGTAGTGCCACCCTGAGCTGTGTGCTTCTTGCTCTGCACTACCCCTTATCTAGCCTAGGGGGTGTGTCAACTTATACATACATTTGCATGTAAAGTTATAGGCTAGAATAGGTGTGTGCTCTTAGTGAGTGCAAACCCAACCCCTATATCTCCCCTGTTCTCTCTCGTTGTTTATTCATTCTAGTATCTCAACACGGAGTTCCATACAAAAAAAAAGCCTTGGAACGATACAAAGGCACTCTGGTCACAACTCCCTCATCCACGCATCGTTTGCATTTATACGCCCAAAACCAAACCATTGGTGCGAGCAAGCGTGCTTGTGCATCGCTTGCAGCAGTTTCCATCAGCACACAGCAGTGGAAACATGATTCAGCAGCAAATGCCCAACAACAGACTCACAAAATAGCATTCCAGTCACACGATCTCGGACAGCTGAGTCATGGCAAAACCATGATTTCTGAAACCACTAGCAGGGCTGACGTTTCAAAAAAAGGCACTCTGAGCCAACCCCCCCAAAAAAAAAAATAGTCTGAAGGGCCTTCAGCCGAAATTTTTGTAGTCTGAAATGTCAGGGTCCAAAACTCAGCGAGTCTGATTTTTTCAGGGTCCAGGACGTACAACCAGAGTCACACACGGGAAACACCCCCACAGCGAGAAACATCCCTCCCTCCTACACCTCCCAAAAAATCGGCTAAATCCCTTGCAGCATTAAAAATCCTCCTACAGCCCGCGCCCCCCCCAACCAGCGACCTTGTCATACCCTTGTTTTGCATAGTTGTTTAATGTGGGAAACGGGGATTTCATTCCTAAAAACCGAGGGGGTAAAATCGCACTGCCACGGAAATCGAAACTGAGGAGAGGGGGAATCGAAACTGACGGGGAAATGGGGAGGGAATCAAAATGGAGGGAAGGGGGGAAGCGAAACGGAGGGGAGGGGGGAAAGGGGGGGGGCGGTCGAAACGGAGAGGATGGGGGAAGCGAAACGGAGGGGAAGGGGGAAGTGATCGAAACGGAGGGGAGGGGGGAAGCGAAAATGGAGGGGAAGGGGGGAATCGAAACGGCAGGGAAGGGGGAAGCTGGGGAATAGGACGGTGGGAGAAATTTCGCGCCCTTGCAGCGCCCCGGTTGGGAAATCTTGGACGTTAATCACTACATAACATCGAACGATTGATATACGTCGAAACGATCGCAAACGATCGTGACCGTTACATTTTGTTAGACTTTCAGTTGACCAAACGGGCAACTGGCGAGAATTTCCCTATGTTAAAAATGCGGAAATTACTCTCATTTCAATGCAGTTTAAAAAAAAAGTTAAAGTCTCGTTCAAAACTTCTGGGTTGTTCCAGGTGTTAGGGAGGACTGTATCTGACAACATGACTTAGTCGAAATTTAGGGTGGGTTGTGGGGTGTGTGGGGGATGTCTCTAGCGTTCCGGGACTTCGCCGAAATTTTATATGGGTTGTGGGGTGTGGGGTGGGGGTTGTCTCTAGGGTTCGGGGACTTGGCCGAAAATTTTTAGGGGTTGTGGGGTGTGTGGGGCATGTCTCTAGCGATTGGGGACTTCACCAATTTTTTCGAAGGTTGGTACTGTACAGGTAATGAGTCAGGGTCTGTACGCGCTGTGCTCTGAAAACTCAGTACTGGGTTAGCGACAACTCTGATTTTCTCAGGATCCCTAGAATCGTACTCTGAAGGGATCAGGATTGGGAAAATGCCTTATCTGGAAATTCAGGTTTGGCCAAAAAACAGGTCTGAGATTTCAGACTAATCAGAGTAAATAGTCTGATAAAGTCAGCCCTGACCACTAGCTATCTAGTGGGACTACAATCCCCTAGTCGGAAGTTCAGCTGCTGGGCAAAACGTTGGGAACTCTGATGAATGGCCCGTCCATCTTGGGTACTTGGCTCAGCATCCCCTCCCTGCAGTCCAGACAGACACAATGGTGATAACAGGGACAGCAACAGCAATTTCGCCTGCAGGTAAAGGTGACCGACTGACAGTGCTGAAAGGGAGTGGTGGGGGAGCTTGTCAGTGGCGGCATCTGATACCATTGGTATGATGTGACCTCACCTCATCTAGTTACTGTCAAACTCATCAAGAATGGTGAGGATTCGTGGCCTCATGGTCACGGGTTGCAGTTCCTGGTTCCTCACCTCCATATTTTATCTCGTCTCACCTCCCTGCACCGCACCGCACCACCTGCTGACCTCATCTCACCTGTTGTCAAAGTCCCGAGCAACGTCTTCTCTCATGGTCCCAGGCGTCAGCTCCTCCCCTCCTGCCAGTGGCATTCACATTGCGCAAGGTGCATGTGTGGCACACCCATGGTGGAGAAACCAAGAGAAAAAAAGTAAGGGGGGGGGGGGGGGGCGGGAGGTGTGCCACAGAAGGGGCGGTAGGGAGGGAGGGGCTAAAAAGGGAGGGCAGCATGTGACTTGAGGGATCAACTGGTGTGCCATGGTGTGGCATGATATGAGTGGCAAAACGTCACGTGGCACAGCATTTCCTTACCAACGCGGATGGCAGCCGGCACATCTGAGAGGTCAACCTGCTGCAGCTGTCCAAACCTGCCAGTGTGAGGAAATGCGTATAAGGTGGCGAGGTGAATGAGGGGGGAACGTGAGTGAGGGGGGGGTTGTGAGTGGGAGGGGCATGTGAGTGGGGGGTTATGCGAGTGAGGGGGGTATGTGAGGGGGATATGTGAGTAAGGGGGATGTGAGTGAGGGGGGTATGTGAGTAATGGAGAATGTGTGATGGAAGGGGAATGTGTAAGAGAGGGGATGGATGTGTAAGCAGGGAGAAAGCATGCTCTCCCTGCTCTTACCAGTCCACGATGCGTGATATGGATGTGCCAAACTCCTCCTCCTGCTCACACAGAAGCATCTCCAACTTAAGTCAGAATGCACTCGAGACAAGAAGAGGGGGGATCACCCTATCTGCGCCAAGAGAAAGGGGACGTTTCAACTCATCGAATAGCAGGTACCTTATCCCCAAACCCTTCCCCCTGCCCTTCTCCCCCACCTCGTTCGCCTTCAGCGCAAGCCTCAGCCCCTTATTCCAACTCCTCTACTAAACGCACTCTCTTCCTCCACCTCTGCCCCCCACAACCCCTTCCCCCACCTCCTCCGCCTTCAGCGCAAGCCTCAGCCCCTTCCGACTCTCTTTCTCCAACCCTACCCCCCAACCCCTTCCCCCACCTCTTCCGCCGTTAGCGCCAGCCGCGCCTTCTGCGCAAGGTCCTTCACATTCGGCTCTTCCTTCGCGGAAGCTTCCGAGGACGAGCTCTGGCAGCGCGTGCCACCGCGCGCAATCAGCGCAGACGCGCTCTGCGCGCTCAATCCGCTCGCCTCGCGAAAATTGTGCGGACACCTCGCGGGTGCAAGTGCGGTTGCGCGGCGAACTGTAGCGGATAATGAGGCGGAGGAAGGCAGTAGGCGCGTGAGCTGGCGGTGCGCCACGAAGCAGTGCTGAGCGACGGAGTGCATGGCTGGCGGCGAGAAGTGCGGCGACACTGTTTGGCTGGGGTAAGGGCGGGGCTGTGGTAAGCGCGGGGCTGCGTTACGTGTGGGAAACAGCTGACAGGACGCGAGGTTGATGAGGCACTCATTTCCCAGCTTTGGCTGTAAAAGTAGAGCCGTTATAAAGTGACTCGTTAAAAGCAACCGTCTCCGTTCTATTTTGCTAGATTTGTGCATCTCCATCATTCGTGAGGCTGCAGCAAAAGCATCGCTACCAATGAGATTCGATGACACAAGAGCAGCCCTTTTGAAACTTGCGTGCCCTACATATTTGCATGCAATGCGATGCCACTGGAAAAACAATAAATAGCCAAGAGTGAAACTACTCCTTCAGAGTATCGTCACCATCGTTTGCATTCCCAAGCTGCACAACAACACTCTTCATGGAGCACGATTGTTGCCAAGACAGCAGATTAGAGGGGATCGAGAGTGTAGATCACTGCAGCATCCGACACCGCCACGTGCCTGAAAGCCAGAATCTGGAGAGTGTCAATAGCAAGCAGAGAACATCAGTACAAAAGTCTCAACATTTGGGGCGCCTCAAAATTAGCTGCCACGTGCCTCAAGGCCCGGTTATGGAGAGTAACAGTAGCAAGCAGAGAACGTCAGTGCGGAAATCTCTACATAGGTAGGGCAACAGTCAAACAAACAAAGAGCTGCAGGAAAGGTTACCTCGACCCAGAGGCAGAGTGCTGTGGGGACGACGCCAGTGTACGCCATCAGCAGCCACGACCATGTGCTCGCCTGTGAGATCAGTCTTGTGACGTCATCGGTTGACGGGAGTATAGTGAGCAGGTCCTGGAATTGGCTATAAGAGCCGTCCAAGGGACTGCTGGAAAGACCTGTGGCAAATTGTGTGGCTGATGCTTTTACGGCTGCTGGTGCTGCGACAGCTGCTGCCACTTCTGCTGCGGTCTCTGCAAGGGCGGTGTTGGTGGATGGAAGATCCACGAAGCTAGTGATGGCCACACCTACAGCAGCGCAGCATGCAACAGTGAATATCTGCCAGGGCAGGAGACGGGTGTACGGGGATGTGGAAACTGGAGGAGACACCTTTATGAGAAATCACAACTTTGACAAAAGAAACTTGTACATTTCGACTCACAGCTTCGGCGGGTACAGGTTACATCTTGATAACGAGGTGGCGTGGTGCACCCCCTTTCGACGATAAGACATCACCACCAAGATGTTCCTCCACCCTTTCTGCTTCCCACTTCTCATTCACGCAATCCTTGAACCCTCCCCACCACATGACCACTGGCAAGACCCCCCCCTACCTGCACTAAGATGAGGTCAAGGGTGGCTGAGGGCGGCACACTCTTTGCAAATTTCTGTGACCGAATGATCTGTAGGCCAAACGCCATGGCGCTCACCAGTGCCAGGCCGTCGCCGACCAGATTAGCGAGGTTCATGGCACGTCAGAGAGGGCGAAAATGGGCTGTTTATGAAACATTCGAGCCTCTGACCGGCTACTTTCCAGATAAATGCCATGCGAGTAGCATTTCAAAGCAGTTCAGGGAGAGATGGGTGAGGGGTTTTAGAGACGTCTAAAAATCTGACTGAACCAAGCTGCCAGACTAACGCCATGGCACTGACTGGTGATATGCCATCGCCAGCTGACCAGAGGCTGTGCACATGATTCGGGCTGTGTTTTGCGTCGACTCAAGAGGTTGTGCACAAGATTCGGGCTGCGTTATGAGTCGACTCAAGAGGTTGTGCACATGATGCGGGCTGTTATGAGTCGACTCAAGAGGTTGTGCACATGTTTAGGGCACGAGCAGCAGTGCACGCACCAGCGGGGGCGCCTGTGAGTTGGCTCGGGGTTCAGAGTTCCTAATAGTGGTTGTGCACATGTTTCGGGCTGTTATAAGTCGAATCAAGAGGACGTGCACATGATGCGGGCTGTTATGAGTCGACTCAAGAGGTTGTGCACATGTTTAGGGCACGAGCAACAGTGCACGCACCAGCGGGGGCTCCTATGAGTTGGCTCAGAGTTCATAGTTCCTAATAGCGCACCAGCATGGACGCCTTTGAGTTGGCTTCAAGGAGCAGAACGCCAGCAACATCTTCTCTGTTCTCCCCTCAAGCTGCCTCCACCCCAGGTCCCCCCATTCTCAAATGCCTCCTCTCTCACACTCTTCCTCATCCCACCCTACGCAGATGCCCCCCTGCGAGGTACCCTACTCCCATCCAGCCCACATGCCCCCATCAGGAACAGCCCACCTGTCTGCAAGAGTGGCTGGATATCTGTATACGGGAGAGACATCCAAATTATGAGCTGGTGAGTCCCATGCTTTCACCTCATCTTCCGCAACTTGGCACGAGCTGCCCATCCCTCCCTGCTCGTTGCTCTTTGCTGGTTATTCTCAGCTTTTTTCCCATCCTTCAGCTTGCATCTCTTCACTGGTTATTCACCGCTTGTTGCACCCGGCGCCACACCCCCCTTCCCTCTGTTCTCCACCCCCCCTCGTTGTTTCCTGGGCGACACAGGGAAGAACGAAGAGCAAGTTGCAGCACATCACAAGAACGGATGATTGAAGATGTGCCAATTGTAGCTGGGGTTTTAGCTCAATGGGTTGGTGGGTAACAAGAGGTGTAAGGTTCGCAGTAGGGTTTTGCAGGGTGCATTGCTTGCATCTTTTCCCATCATTGCTGCATACCCCCTCTCCCCCCCACCCCACCCCCCCTTCCCCCTCCATCCCTCCCCATCCCTCCCCACCTTCCCCCACCTTCCCCACCACCATCGTGGTTGTGTTTAAAGGCCAGAGCTAGGGTCTGCAGCTGCTCGTGTCCAAACTGCCATTCCAAAAGAAGCCTTGGAACTGCACAAAAGCACTCTGGACACAACAACCTCTGCACCGTTTGCAGGTTACACACCCAAAACCAAGCCATTAGTGCAAGCAAGCGTGCTTGAGTCGGTTTCCATCAGCACACAACAGTGGAAATTGCATCCGAGCAGCAAATGCCCAACTATGAACTCACAAAATAACATTCCACTCGCACACTCTCTGACATATCTCCACTGAGTCATGCCAATACGGAACCATGATTCCTGAAACCATTAGCTATCTAGTGGGACTACAATCCCCTAGTCGGAAGTTCAGCTGCTGGGCAAAACTTTTGAGGCACCTCAAAAACTGCTGGACAACACGTTGGGGACCTTGATTAATGGCCCGTCCATCTTGGGTACTTGACTCAGCACCCCCTCCCTGCAGTCCGGACAGACACAATTGTGATAACGGAGACAGCAACAGCATTTTGGTTTGCAGGTAAGGTGACTGACTGACAGTTCTGATACCATTGGTATGATGTGACCTCACCTCACCTTGTTACATTCCTGTCTAACTCAGCAGAAATGGCGAGGCTCATGGCCTCATGGCCGCAGGCTGCAGTTCTTGGTATGTTCTCACCGGCAGATATTATTTCGTCTCACCTCCCCGCATCTCACCATCCGCTGAGCTCAGCTCACCTGTTGTCGAAGTCCCGTGCAACGTCTTCTCTCATGGTCCCAGGCGTCAGCTCCTCCCCTCCTGCCAGTGGCATTGCATCGTGCATTGGGCATGGTGCATGGTGCATTGTGCATGTGTGGCAAACCCATGGTAGAGAACCCAAGAGAAAAAAAAGTTGGCGGGGAGAGAGACAGACGAAGGGAAGGAGTGAGTGCATGACTAGGTCTAGGAATGTATTTTTGAGGCGCCTCAAAAATAGACTCTTCAGGAAGGGAAGGAGTGAGTGCATGACTAGGTCTCGGAATGGACACAAAAGAACGCATGTTGACTCACTAGGCGGCGCTATCTTAGACACATACAAGACCCCCCAGCACCCTTGCTTCGTCCCCTTACCCTTGGTGTGACAGCCATGTGGCAGTTGAGGCTCCCCTTCGATCTCCTTTGCTCCCTTGCACTCTCGCCAACCTCAGCTGATGAGCGCTGCTATAACGCCTCGCTACCCACTGGGTCAAAACGAGGTTACCCAGAGGTGCAACAGAATGCATTTACAATCTCTAGGTTGTTTTCCGTCCGCAGACGCTACACTCGTCCCCCCCTGGTGCCAACGTCCTCATTGGTTTCCAGGGATTCGGCCCTCGCAAGGACCTCTCATTTCGCTGGTGTTCCAAGTCAGCGACTTCGTTGGTGGACAAGGCCAACGGACAGGATCGTTCGCTGGGTTCGCGACTGGATACAACCGCAGCTGTATTTTCGCACATTCGAGTTCTAGGCACAACCTTGGCCGTGCGCAGAAAATGTGTCCATATGGGATTCGAACCCTAAGCTCTGAACCAGTATAACGCCTCGCTACCCACTGGGTCAAAACGAGGTTACCCAGAGGCACAGCGGAATGCATTTACAATCTCTAGGGTGTTTTCCGTCCGCAGACGTTACAGCTGCAGTGGTGTTAGGACAAAACACGCATTCTAGCCCAATTCCTTGCACAGAAAAATGCAACGGACACACAGGGGACGAGAGGAGAAACGGAAGGAGGGCCGTTAGTGCACGGAGCCATGAAAATTGTGGACGCAAGGAACAAGCAGCAGTTGACTCGCTAAGCGGAGCTATCCTAGACGCATACGCGCCCCCCCAATTCCCCTGTTTCCATCCACATACCCTTATTCTGATCCTTCTTCGATTCGTGCAGCCGTCGGCTTGGCACCATTCGACTCGTCGGAGAGGGCACGCTGACAACTAGCATCACAAATCCTTGCAGCCATTGGGAAAGCACCACGCGACACGTCACGTGACCACGGCAAGACCACGCTGGCAAACGGCATCACACCAGCTCCTACGGTGCGCCTTATGCAGCTCGCGTGGAGATTGACGAAGCTCGCGGGGAAAATGACGCCGCTCATGGGAACAATGGTGCAGCTTGCGGGGAAATCGACGAAGCTCGCGAAGACAGCGGCCGCGGCATCGCTGTTGGCAGTGCTCACGCCGACCCAACGGCTGGCCGGTTGCGCGGCGAGCATCTCGTACGCAGCAATAACGCTGACTGGTTGGCGATGCTGGCTACGCGACGAAACACCTCGATGCAGCGATGACGTTGACTGACTGGCGACA